GCTCTCAGCTTTCTCGCTCACAGCTGGTGCTCCACCACTTGAGCCATGCCTCCAGTCTGGCTTCTTTGCAAGTTAATTGGAAGTAAAGTATTGCAGATTTGTCTGCCTGTGATGGCTCTGAACAGCCTTCCTCAGACCTCAGCCTCCTAAGCAGCTGGGATTATAGGAGTAGACCATGGGAACTGGGCTCTGCATTTAATTTTGTGAATCAAGACAAATACCATGAAGAATAAACATTTTGAATGTAGGGGCTGGGAAGATGGCTCAGTGGTAGAGCGCTTGCCTTGCAATGCATGAGGCCCTGGGTTCGATTCCCCAGTACCACATAAGCAAAAAGAAAAAAATAGCCAGAAGTGGCGCTGTGGCTTAAGTGGTAGAATGCTAGTCTTGAGCTAAAGAGCTGAGGTACAGCGCCCACGCCCAGAGTTCAGGCCCCACAACTGGACCCACCCCCCAAAAAAAAAACATTTTGAATGTATTTTTGAATCCTGAACTATATAAGTAACTTCTTAGTGCTAATTATTAGTGATATTCATAAGATATAATTCTAGATTATATTCTCACCAATTACTTTTTTTTCATATGTACATAATTCTTTCATTATCTATATGATGTTGCCAGGACTCGGGATTGAACTCAGGGCCTCAAATTCATGCTTGGCTTTTTTTGCTGATGGCTGAAATTCTACCACTTGAGTTACACTTCTACTTCCAGCCTTTTGTTAGTTGAAGATAAGAATCTCTTAGATTTGCCTGTCCTAGCTGGCCTCAAACTAGGATCCTCAGCTCTCAGCCTTCTGACTAGCTAGGATTACAGGCGTGAGCCACCAGGCACGGTTTTTTGTTTGTTTTTTACCATTATTATTGGTCTGCTCATAAAGGTTTCACTGACTTCTATAAAGGTAACTGTATCCTTCAAAGCTTGGTCTTTGACTTTTTGCTGTGCATTTCAAGACTTACTTCCTCAGAAAGCCTCTTTGGTTTGATTACCTTCTCTAGGCTAAGGACTCCTAAATCCCCATTCCTACTGCCAACTTTAAGTTTAACCTCAATCCAAGCTACTAGAAAATATCTGCTAGAGGCTACTTTTATATTGTTAAAATGCATGATGCCTATATCTCCACACTATAAAAATGAAAGTCAAAAATAAAAATTAGTGGAGAATGGCTTAGAGAACAATGTATGTGGAGGCAAGCTGATGTGCTATTATTTGATTAGATCATGACAGACAATTATATGGCAGAGGAAGAAACAGATTTGGGAAATATTTCAAAGAAAAAACTAATGACTAGTGACCTAGAGTGAGAAAGAGGATCCAGATAACTCCAAGATATTTAGTTTGAGTGTCTAGATGTCTTTAAATGAGTCTCAGAATAAACAAGCTAAAGAATACTCAAAGGAAGGATCATGGGACTTGTCTTAAAAATGTTGAAAGCCTACCTGACATCAAGGTGAAAATCTGTCTGGAAACAAGTCTGCAGCTACAGAAGAAACCTGATTGTAATTGTTAAGTGATAAATGAACATATGAGAGTAAAAGAAACAGACCTTAAATGAGCCAAGAGAACCCCAAACAGGAAGAGAACCCAAAACAGGAAGAAGACAGAAAATGATACACAACACAAACACATATTAAATATTTCCTTCCTTCTCATCCTGGATCTCCTCACAATCCTCTCTTTTATTTATTTATTTATGTAATTAATTAATTTTTGGGGGTCAGTCATAGGATTTGAACTCTGGGTCTGGACACTGTCCTTGCAATCTTCAGCACAAGGCTAGAGCTCTACCTCTTGAACCACAGCGCCACTTCCTGTTTTCTGGTGGTTAGTTGGAGATAAGAGTCTCATGGACTTTCCTGCCAGGGCTGGCTTTGAACCGCAATCCTCAGATCTCAGCCTCCTAAATAGCTAGGATTACAAGCATGAGCCACAGGTACCCAGCTTCTCTCTCTCTCTCTCTCTCTCTCAATGAATAAGCTTATCTTTGCTTAAAAAATACCCACTACTTTTACTCCAGTATTGTCAGTGAATAATACAGTAGGCAAAACAGACTTGAGCCACATTTCCTAGGATTGAAAATTTGCTTACCCACTTATTAAGCTATGTAACCTTCAGTGAGTTATTGACCATTCTGCCTTAGGTTTAATAAACTACTTCAAAGAAATTTTATAATTACTCATGGAAAATTAAATCAGTTAATTTGGAGGAGAGAGTAGTACTAGGAGTAGAACATAGGGTTTCTTTCACCCATAGCTAGGCAAACTCTTTACCACTTTAACCATGTCCCTAACCCTTTTCATTTTAGGTATTTTTCAGACAGGGTCTTCCTTTGTCCAGAGCTATCCTTGGACCAGGATTCCCCTGTGTCCAACTTATCTGGGAATACAAGTATGCCCTACCACATCTGGATTGTTCTTTGATATAGAAGCTCGTTAATGTTCTTGCTTGGTATTTTTCAGACAGGGTCTTCCTTTGTCCAGAGGCTATCCTTGGACCAGGATTCCCCTGTGTCCAACTTATCTGGGAATACAAGTATGCCCTACCACATCTGGATTGTTCTTTGATATAGAGGCTCCTTAATGTTCTTGCTTGGGCTGGCCTTGAACTATGATCCTCCTGTCTTTATAATGCTATAGCTGATAAAACAGGCTTAAGCCTATAAACCAAGCCCTGTATCAGTTAACTTTTTTTTTTTTTTTTTAAAAAAGAATGGTGCCTGGTCTGTGCTTTCTAAGTATACATTAACCAAATAAATAAATCCAATTTTCTTTGTGAAATCCTTTTATCCTTCTCATTTAACATCAACCAGTTGAGACTGCCTGCATTTCCTATCTCATTACTCCATCAATTTACTAAAATTTCTGGTTAAAATTTTTTTTTCTTAGGTGGTACTATACTTTGAACTCAGAGTGCTCTATGACTCCCTTAACCCTGAGCAGGCTCAAGATCTCAATCTTTCTACTATGCCTCCCTTTTAGCTCCCTATGTAGGCAAGGTGGTGAAGATGGCCTTCCTAACTTTTTGCCTGGTTTGGTTTTGAACTGAGATCCTCCTTATCTGTGCTTTTGAATGGCTGGTAATATAGACATGAATCACTTTACTCAGCCTAAAACTGCTTTTCAGGAGGCCACTAATGACCTCTTAATAAAGAAATGTCATAAGTTTTTCTTCTCATGCCTAGATATTTTTTATGATTGGATCCAGTGGATGCTCTTCCAACTCTGATATCTTCTTTTGACATCTAGGGCTTCTGGGTTTCTGGAATTCTGTACTCTTAGACTTTATCTCCTACTTCTGTTTGGGCTATAATACTATAATACTTATCTCCAATTCCTTTTTCTGCTTAGTTAATGCAACCATTATCCCATAAATCTCCCTTTTAATACTGTCTTCCTCCCCTCCCTTTTTTTTGTCGGTCGTGGGGCTTGAATTCTGGTCCTTGGTGCTGTCCCTCAGCTCTTCAGCTCAAGTGCTCTACCACTTGAGCCACAGCACAACTTCTGGTTTTTTTGGTGGTTTATTGGAGACAAGAGTCTCATGGACTTTCCTGTCTGGGTTGGCTTTGAACCACAATTCTCAGATCTCAGCCTCCTGAGTAGCTAGGATTATAGGTGTGAGCCACCAGCGCCCAGCAATACTGTCTACTTAATGGCAGCTATCCCCGTAGCTTCCATAACTATATGAATAACTGAGAACTTTACCTCTAGAGAAAATGTTTAGGGTACTCCCAGATTTGCATTTCCAAACCTAGGCTAGACAAAACTATGTGACTATCCCATTAGGCTTTAATTCAGTATGCCCAATGAATGAATTTGTAATCCAAAACAACCTTATGGTTTTGATAATGGCATCATTATTTTTCAAATGCTCAACTTAAAACCGAAGCATCAGATCTGACAGTTCTGATTCAACATAAAATTCGTTATAGAGTCTGAACACCACTGTTTTCACCTTTCCAATAGCACTCATTTTTCTCACTATGATGATCCCATTCTACTTTAAAGAACGTTCCAATGAAAGTATCCAAACTTTACAAGTCTCCAGAGTTAGCTAACAGAAATTTCTTTTCTGTCAGACACTTGTGCCTCATGTCTGTAATTCTAGCTGCTCAAGCAGCTAAAATCAGGGGGACTGCAGGTCAAAGTCAGCCAGGAAAGTCTGTGATACTCTGTCTCCAAAACAACTAGCAAAAAGCAAGGTTGGAGGTGTGGTTCAAATGATGGAGCAACCCAGCACGTACACTGAGCCAGTGTTAGACCCTTAATTTAAACTTTAGTACTGACAAACACAAACAAAAGCAAAAGAAAAACCAATTTTCTCTTTACACATATTATACTCAACCAATATTCAGTATACCACTGCAACTGTTTCTTTTGCCTGAAAAAACTCTTCCACACTACTCTCGCCAAGAAGTCTAATTCAGTCACTACTTTCTACAGGCTTCCCAGCAACTTCCCCCTTGAGTAGTTCACATGCACAACTCATTTATGGACATCGGGAACATCTACTTGTTTAAAGGACCCTGAAAGCGGAGCTGTATCCGATAGATGCCCAGCGGGTTGGCTTAGCACCAATAATATAAAAAGGTGCCTGTGGCAAGTGGCTGAATCCGGGAAACCTCATCAAAATCAGACCCACACTTATTGGACCGGTTCCGGTGGCTCCTTTTCTCCGGGCCTCAACTCTGGCACTTTCTACCAGATGCCACAGAGTCCCAGTGTCCAGGCCAGCCAGGGGACCCTCCGCTGAGGTCCCGGGAGGCGGTCCCTCCGGCCTCCTCAGCTCCCCGGGGGACGGGAAAGGGGCGTGGCTACGCGTGGGCCGGTCCACCGGGCTCCTACACTCTCCCGGGGCCTAACCAAACCTCTGGTGGGCAACCATCCCAGTACAGGTCCGGGCCAATCCACAGCCCCAAGGGGGGAGGTGGAGGCTCCATTTTGACCGACCCCCCCCCCTCCGCCCCCCAACCCGACGCTCTGGTCGCTTCCGAACTTACGGACCCCAGGGGAAGGTCACCGTCAAGATCCGGCGCGACCAGGAGCTCCGGCCCCTCGGGGGGCTCCGGGAAGGGGGAGGGGCAGGGAACCGGAGTCAAAGGGGGACCCAACGGAACCGGAAGGGCAGCCCCGGCCGGACAAAGACAACTTCCGGGTCCTACGGTCAGTTCTACCAATCGGAAGACTCGGCGGACGACGGTGGCCGGAGAGGGACTTTTCGCGCCGGGGGCGGGGCGCGGGCCGTGGGCCGAACGCTCCTCCGAATAGCGTCGCGGCCGGCGTTGCCCAGATGCCCTGGCTCCCCGGCGTCTGTGGATCACGTTCCCTGGCGATTTGCGGGGATCCGCGGACCCAAACTCCTACTTGGAGACTTGTGGAGCTGGGCCTCCACCGTCTGCTGCCTGCGTGGGCCTGACGGGCCTCTCGGCACTTCAATCTTGGTAAGTGCCTGTGCAGAAAGCCCAGCTTCTGGATAATTGCTGTCTTTAGGGGGCCTGGTCTGGAGGTGAGAGGGTGGGGTTTTTCTCTGTCCTGCGAGATCCTAGGTTCAGCTCCTGAATTCCTATGCTTCCGTGGCCCACGCAGGGTGTGTGCCCGTCCACAAATCTCTTCTCGCCTGCCAGATGCTTCAGCTCCTCCAGAGCCATCTGCACAGGAGACAGCTCTTTTAATTTGTTGACAAGTATTAGGGTTCCTTTTGATGATCCCAAGTTCACCTCCAAACCAGGCTCATTTCCTGCATTGTTCTTGTGTTGGTGAGAGGAATTACTTACCTACGTATTGTTCTGGACCAGAAAAATTGGAAGTTATCAATTCTAGAGCCCTTTTCCCAATTTAATTGCCCGTCTAATAGTTCAGAGTCTTTTCCATTTCGGGGCGGGAAAGGAAGAGCCTTTACTGTGGCAAAACCTACATAATGTTTATCATTTTAATTATTTGTAAGTGTAAAGTTCAGTGGCTTTAAGTGCATTCACAATGTCGTGTAACCAACCATTAAGACTGACGGCTCTAAACATTATTCTTGCATCCAGTTTCCCCAGTACTGTGTTGAAAAGATGGTCCTTTCTCTTTTGAGCGGTTATGGCTCCCTTGGTGAAAAACAATTGATCATAATTGTGAGTTTCTATCTGGGCTGTCTACTTGACAGTCCTTATACTAGTACCACTAATGATTGAATTACTGAGGCGTTGTGCGGGTTTTGAAATTGTGAAGTGTGAAGTTCTCCAACTTTATTCTTCATTTTTTTTTTATTGTGAAAATACCGTACAGAGGGGTTACAATTACATGGGCAAGGTAATGAGTACATTTCTTATCAAGCATTGTTGCCTCCTTTGTTTCCCCTTCCCATCTCTTCCCATCTCCCCCCGCCCCACACACCCTTATTCTTCATTTTAAAGATTGTTTTTGCTATCCCAGTTTTTGTGTCTTATGAATTTTTTATTTTATTTTTATTTTTGTCGGCAGTGGGGCTTGAACTCTGGGTCTGGGTGCTGTCCCTGTGCTCTTCTGCTCAAGGCTATTGCTCTACCACTTGAGATACAGCACAACTTCCGGTTTTCTGGAGGTTTATTGGAGATAAGAGTCTCACGGACTTTCCTGCCCAGGCTGGCTTTGAACCGCAATCCTCAAATCTCAGCCTCCTGAGATTACAAGCGTGAGCCACCTGCGCCCGGCTCCATATGAATTTTAAGATTGCATTACATATATATATGTATATATATATACATATATATTTTAAACATAATAGGAATAGGGATTGTATTGAATCTGCAGGTTGCTTTTGGATAGTATTGATACTCTTAATTTTATGTTTGCCTCTGCTGAAACATCTGATGTCTATATAAATAATAAAATAATTCATTATTAAATAATTTCATTCAGTAGTGACTTCTAGTTATCAGTATTGTGTGTATGTGTGTGTGCTGTTACTGAGGCTTAAACTTCCATTTGAGTGAGATACACTCCCACTTCCAGCTTAATGCTGGTTAATTGGAGATAAGAGTCTCATGGACTCTCCATCACTTCTAAGTAGCTAGTATTACAGGTGTGAGCCACCAGCACCTGGCCCTCAGCATGTTTTTTTTATTCATTCACATGATACTTGGAATTGCTTCCTTAATTTCCTTGTCAAATTACTCATGGTATATTGAAATTGCTGATTTTTGTGTGTTGGTCTTGACCCCTGCAAATTTGCTGAATCCATTTAGTAGCTCTAGTAGCTCTCTTGTAACTTCTTGGGATTTTCTTGGTGTAGGCTCTTGTGTTCTGTGGGAAGAAATTGTATTTTACCTCTTTTCCAATTTGGATTCCCCTCCCCCCCCCTTTATCGCTCTGACTACTAATACAGTCTTTTAATAGCAGCAGTGAAAGTAGTCATCTTTGTCTGATGTTAAGGAATGCTTTTAATCTTAAACTATTTATTGTATTTTTCACGCTGTAAGAGGTTTGTGTTTTGTTTTGTTTTTTAGAAATATCCTTATCATGTTAGTTTTCCCTCTGTTGCTAGTTTTCTCAGAAATGTTATCATGAAAGGATATTACATTCTTTAGAATACTCTCTCATCAATTTAGACAATCATATATTCTCCACCTTTATAAATGTGTTACATTGATTTAGTTTGTTGGACCACCTCTGCATTCTTGGACTGAATTCTACTTGATTGTGGCAAATAATCCTCTTAATACATTTTTACATTTGACTTGTTTGTATATTGTTAGTTTTTTGCTTCTACATTTATAATTTATTAATCTTCAAGTTATTGACTTTTGCTTTTATCTGTCTTGGGTATCAGGGTATTGCTGACCTAACTGAATATATAAGGAAGCATTTTCTTCTACTTTTTTTTTCTCTTCAGGTTTATTGAAGAGGTTTGACAAGGAATGTTGTTAATTCTTCCTTTGAACATAAGTTTAATAGAATTCACCAATAAAGGCATCTGGTGTAGACTTTCCTTAGTTGGTAAGTTTTGATTACTGAGTGAATCTCTTGTGACAGAGTTATTGATATTTTCTATTTCATCTTTAATCAGTTTAGGTAAGTGGTGTGTTTCAAGGAATATGTTCATTATTTTTAAGCTGTTTTCTGATTTGTTGGCATGTAATTGTCCATAGTGGTTGCCTATAACCCTTCTTAAAAACCTCTTTGTAGGGCTGGGAAGGTGGCTCAGTGGTAGAGCGCTTGCCTTGCATGCTCGAGGCCCTGGGTTCAATTCCTCAGCACCACATAAGCAAAAAGAAAAAAGCTGGAAGTGGTGCTGTGGCTCAAGTGGTAGAGCACTAGCCTTGAGCTGAAGAGCTGAGGGATATTGCCCAGACCCAGAGTTCAGGCCCCATGACCGGACCCAAAATAAAAAAAAAAAAAAAACCTCTTTGTAATATTGTAGTTAATGTTTTTCACTTTCATATATACTTTTAAAAAAATTGTGTGGTCTTTTCTTTCATTGGTCTAGCTAAAAGTTCTGTCAATATTCTTCAGTATTTAATTCACTTTATTTATTTTTATTTTTTTGGGTCCGGTCGTGGGGCCTGAACTCTGGGCCTGGTCACTGTCCCTCAGCTCTTCAGCTCAAGGCTAGCGCTCTACCACTTGAGCCATAGCGCCACTTCCTGCTTTTTTCTTTTTGCTTATGTGGTGCTGAGGAATTGAACCCAGGGCCTCAGGCATGCAAGGCAAGCGCTCTACCACTGAGCCACCTTCCCATCCCTTTAATTCACTTTATTGAGACAGTATTTTGGTATGTATCTCAGGTTCGTCTGGAATCCATAATCTTCCTCCCATCTGCTGGAATTAAAGGTGTGTATCACTGGTCCCAGCTCTTGTTTATCTTTTTTTTTTTTTTTTTGGTCAGTCTTGAGGCTTGAACTCTGGGACTGAGTACTGTCCCTGAACTCTTCAACTCAAGGCAAGTGCTTTAACACTTGAGCCACAGAGCCACTTCTGGTTTTTTGGTGGTTAATTGGAGGTAAGAGTCTTGTGGACTTTCCTGCCAGGGCTGGCTTTCAACCTAGTTCCTAAGATCTCAGCCTTCTGAGTAGCTAGGATTATAAGTGTGAGCCACCAGCACCTGACTGTCTTGTTGATCTTTTTAAGAGTCACTTTTCATGTATATTTTTTGTTTTATTTTTCTACCTCTGTTTGTTTACTTCTGCTTTGATCTGTTTCATTTCCTTTTTTTTTTTTTTTTCCTGTTAGCTTTGGGTATAGCATGCCCTTTTTCTTGGCATTTAGAATATCAAGTTCAGGTTATTGATTTACTTTTGTTGTTGTTATTGTTGGTGGTGGTGGTGGTGGTGGTGGTCTTGGGGCTTGAACTCTGGGCCTGGCCTCTGTCTCTTTGCTCTTCAGCTCAAGGTGAGAGGTCTATCACTTAAGCTACAGTACCACTTCTAGTTTTCTGGTGGCTAGTTGGAGATAAGAGTCTCAAGGACTTTTCTTGCCCGGGCTGCTTTTGAACCTTGATCCTCAGATCTCAGCCTCCTGAGTAGCTAGGCGTGAGTCACCCTCGCCCAGCGATTTAGTCTTTTTTAATCTATTTTTTCTCCACTTACTGCTTAAACCTTGCCCATAAGTTTTAGTAGGCTGTGTTATATTTGTTTTGAAATATTTTATAATTTTCTTTCTTTGCTTAATGATTGTTTAATCTACACATATTTGGGAATTTTCTAGTTTGTTTTAAATTTTTGATTTCAAACCTCATATCTTATGATCAAAGAAGATACCTGGTTATAACTATTTTATAAAAGCTATTGAGATTTGTTATGTGGCCTAATATGTGGCCAATCCTGATGAATGTTCCATGTGCAATTGAGAAGAAGTTTTGTAGACTGATCTGTATATGCTTTTTAGGATGAGTTGGATTTTGTGATGTAAAATTCTTCTGTTTACTTATCTGGCTATTCTATTGATTATTGAACATGAGACATTGTAGTCTCCAAGATTGTAAGAACTTTTACTTCTTTTAATTCTGACAAAGAGAGGGGGAGAGAATAAGAGACAGGGAGAAAGACCACATGTAGATCAAATTCAGTACATCACACATTTTAGGCAATTGCCTACAATTCCAACAAAGATTTTAAAGCAACTGCTTTTTTTTTTTTTAACTTTTTGTGCTCATGGCTAGCTTTCGACCACTTGAGCCACAGCTCCACTTCTGCCTTTTTTGGTACCATCAGATGATCCTCAGATCTCAGCCTCATGTGTAGCTAGGATTACAGGTGTATGCTACCAGTGCCCCACTTTAAAACAAAGTTTTAGACAATTTTCAAAACAACTGTTTTCACATTGCTCAAGTAGATAAGTACATGAATCAATAATACAGGATACTTATTTAAATTGTTTTGGAAAGTAGGGAAGGAGCAATGATAGAGAGGTGAGTTTATATACTGTGTGGAATGTAGCAAGGGAATCCCCTTCAGTATAACTCATGTAAGCTAATTTTTAA